TCACTGCTCAATTCTGGAAGCAGAAAGATCTTCATATGTACATTCTTCTATTCCTCATTATTTAGTATACGTAAATCCCAAATAATCACTCTCCTTCTGTCATTAGGCTTGTTGGATTGTTGAATTAGATTTTGGAGAGACATCCATCTAAGCTCCAGAAAGACATACACTTACACTGAAGGAGGGACCCAGGCCATATCTAGATGCCAGAATATGATAAAGAACTAGGGGTGCACTCTTTTGATTAGTAAACATCTACCTAGCAACCTAGAACAGCGGTTCCCATCCTGGGGTCCGCACCTCGCTTACGGGGGGCACCAGTGTCAAATATGGATGCAAACAACCTTTCCATATGTAATTTCTAGGAGCGCTTCTATCGGCCACTGATCGGAACCAGCTGAAAATTATGTCTTTGATTCGATACATGGTCTCTCAGGATGCCAATCACATAAACAATCACATTTTTAAAATGCAACAGATGCGAGCATGCTCACAACAACTGTGAGAGGTGTGGCAAATATGAAAAGCTCAGCGACTGTGTCTCAGTCTCCACCAAGCTACAATACTAGAGGGCTCAGGTTTTCTTATATGTAAAGAGGGGGGCTTAAAGGACAAAAACTTGAGAACCACTGACCTAGAACACTCTAGCAGCCACCTAGCAATGCCTTGGCAACCATCCAGGACATCGCAGCAGTGCCCTAGCAACCAACCAATTGCTCGTGTTGTATCATAAAAATGTTTACTAAATGGCTAAATATAAATGTAAACAACCTAGCAAACAGAAAACACCCTAGCACCACCTAGTAATGCCTTGGCAACCATCCAGAGCACTCTAGCAGCCACCTAGCATCACCTTGGCAACCATCTGGAACACCATAGCAGCCACCTATCAAATGCCTTTGCAAACAATCCAGAACACCCTAGCAGCAACCTAGCAATGCCTTGCAAACTATCCAGAACTTCCTAGCAGCCATCTAGCAACACCTTGGCAACCATCCAGAGCATCCTGTCAGTGCCCAAGCAACCAGCCAGTTACTTGTCACATTCCTTGCTTATAAGTTGCTTAGGATAAAAACAACCTAGCAGGCATCTAGCAACCACTCACAAAACCACAGCCACACCCAAACACACACCAACTCCTTAGTGACCGCTCAAAACACTGTAAAAATCGCCTATCCCTCCTTGAACACTCTAGCAACAACCCAGAACAAGCTAGCATCCCCCTAGCAATGCCTTGGCAACCAGTCATTTTCTTGTGAGGTTCCTCATTTATAAGTCACATCCACTAGAAAACCGTAGAAACTGCCTAGCTGTTGCAGCCATTCTGAATATCCTAACAATACCCTAATAACCTCCCAGAATAACTTAGCAACCACTCTGAACAATTTAGCAACTGCATAGAAACTTCTGAAGATATTATCAACAAGTGGTGATGAGTTTTACTAACTTTACATGAGAAAATGTGCAAATCTTTTAAGAACAACATTGTTAATGTACTTACAGTATACTCACATGTAGTATGTGTAAAATAATGTATTTTTGTGCAAAATCATGTTAAGGGTCAACAATATGCAATCTCAACATGAAATGTTATCAAATTACTGTATAATGAAATGCAATATGTGCTGATTACAGATCAGTCTTATTGAGCCACCAGGGGACTTGGAGTTTGCATTTTTAGGAGGGCGTAAAGTTACAGATTGCTAAGGTGGTATTATTAGACACCAGTGCTGCTCAGCCAAGCACAGATTCCATGTCTGATCTGCCCTTCCTGCTCGAATCGCACAAGGGCGAAGCCCAAAGTATGCAAATATAGTCCATCTGATCAAATGAATGCGCGGCCATGCTGTTAAGCAATCATCTTTTTGGCTGCGTCTGATAAGTGGAGTCTGTACTCTCCAGATGGTGTGTGTGTATGTATGTTTGTACGTGTGTTTGTGTGTGTCTATGGATGCAACTCAGAGAGCCACAGGATGAGGTCAGTCTGGCCACACTGATCGGTCTTTCCCATGCTGCCAAGATCAGAATCCGCTCCCATGAGAAGGAGCTCTGCAAAGCACGCACGGGCTTGGAGCTCAGTCTGGAAAATAGTGCGCAAATGCTTGAGTTCCAACATTTCAGCAAGAAAAAAAAAGAGATAAAAGAGAGTGTACTTGGTGCCAAAATTGTCGAAAGGGTGTGGAACTTTAATGGATTCCTGGATTCCGGTTTTGGCTCTGTAACAGTGATAACCTGGGTAATGTTTGGAATGGTACTTACATACTTCTACTGTATACTGCCTATAGAAGGTCAATTTGGGATACAGTTCCTGCATCTAAATATGCCTACTTCCCTACAATATAATAGGTGAAAAACAGTACATGAAAAAAGCAGTGTGTCCATATATATATATAGATTCACAGTATTTGTAAAACAGTAGACGAAAAGTACCTGGATGACCCGCTGAGATTCTGAAGTGAGCATCTGATGAGCACTTTGCCATCCCATTAGGGTACAGGAGAGGAGTTGGGAAATTATGCTACTGATGTAAGTCACATGACAAAGACAATATGACGGATGTAGTACTTCTGGATTACTGAGGTCAGTCTGGCCACACTGATCGGTCTTTCCCATGCTGCCAAGATCAGAATCCGCTCCCATGAGAAGGAGCTCGGGATGCACAGCACGGGCTTGGAGCTCAGTCTGGAAAATAGTGCGCAAATGCTTGAGTTCCAACATTTCAGCAAGAAAAAAAAAGAGATAAAAGAGAGTGTACTTGGTGCCAAAATTGTCGAAAGGGTGTGGAACTTTAATGGATTCCTGGATTCCGGTTTTGGCTCTGTAACAGTGATAACCTGGGTAATGTTTGGAATGGTACTTACATACTTCTACTGTATACTGCCTACTATTTTGTAAAAAAATAGTATGTGAAATAGTATGCAGTATGCGACAAGAAATGCTCTACCTGCAGGTAGATGCTGTTGATTCCAAAAATGCGTCCTTTGATGGTCGTTTTTTTGCAAGCTACATATAAATCGCACGTATTTCATTACAACACAATAGAGCTAATGCCTTTGAGGTGAATGAGATGGTATTCATGTTAACAGATAGCATTCTCCAGGTATTATAGACCACCTTGGTGAACTCTTGTTGTATACTGATCTTCAGAAAAATGTAGTATTGTCTTTACATATAACCTGCATACTGTGCACAGTATCCATACTGCATACTGCATGCCTAGTTGGAGTAGTATCGTATTATGCTATTCCAAACATTCCTAGTTTCTTATAGAATGGATAGAGCACATTGATGTTGTTTTTGATGATGAATTGATGAGTCCACCTCTGAGGTCATGCCCCCAGATCTGAGATTGGCCTGTGGCAGTAGAATAGCAGTAGATGATATGAGAGTCAGGAAGGGAGAGTAAAAGGAGCACAGAAAAAGCAGGAGGGAATAAGACCCCTCAACAGGGCAATTCAATTAGTCTGCTTTTAGAGGAGCGAGGAAAAGAGAGCGAGACAGAGATAGTGAGAAAATGTGATTAATCAAAGTGAGTCACACTCACAAGAGTGTCCTCTGAAAGGTTTACTGCCTGACAAAATTTGAAAAACACAATTAAACTGAAGTCTGTAAGCAATTGCAACTAATCAAGTACATTTTTGGCAGCTCCTTTACATAAAATGAAAGTGAGGGCTGGGGCTGATGAGCTCCAAAAATTAAGGCCATGAAGGCGCCATTAATGTAGTCCATATGACTTACAGTATAGTGATGTATTCCAAATCTTCTGAAGTCATACAGTAGCTATATGTAAAGAACAAACTGGCAGATGTGTAAAAATCTACACGTCTCATGATAATACTAATTAAATCTTTTATTTCATGAGTTTAGGGTTATTGTAGTATTGTATTATTAGCGTAATTTAAGAACAGTAGGTGCTATATTGTATGTACTGTAGATATAGCCTAAACTTGTATGTAGAAGTTAACTTGACTGAGAAAGTATAAGTAAACTTGTAGAAATAGAAGTAAACTTATGTAAAAAATAAACGTGTATAAATATGAAGTAAACTTTTATGAACAAATAGAATCAAACCTGTATTAAAAACTAAAAATACACTTGTATGTGTAAGTAAACTTGTACTTACAGGTAGAAATAGAAGTAAACTTGTAAGTACATTTTTTGTATTTAAATTATTTTATAAAAAAAATTTTTTTTTTACTTTTACAAGTAAAAGTAAACTTGTATGTAAAACTAAACGTACATTTGTATGTATAACTAAACTTGTATTTACAAGTAGAAATATAAGTAAACTTGTATGTAAAAGTTAACTTGACAAGTAAACTTTTATGACCAAACTTGTATGTATTAAAGTTTACTTTTAAATACAATTTTGCTTCAATTTGTACATAAAAGTTTACTTTTACGAATAAACTTGTACTTACAAGTAGAAATCGAAGTAAACTTGTATGTAAAAGTAACTTGACAAATTTTTATGTACAAATCGAAGCAAACTTGTATGTACATATGTTTACCTTTATATGCAAGTTTGTCTTTTCACATAAGTTTATTTTTACTTTTACAAGTAAAAGTAAACGTGTATGTAAATGCAGAAGTATGCTTGTATAAGTAAACTTGTATGAATGTGTACAAGTAAACTTTTATGTACAAACAGTAGCAAACTTGCATGCACATTAATGTTTACTTGTATACAAACACTACAAGTTTGCTTCTATTTGTATAATTTTATATACAAGTTTGTCTTTGTACATAAGTTAATTTGTACTTTTACAAGTAAACTTGTATGTAAAAGAAAAAGTATACTTGTATGTATAAGTAAACTTGTATACAAGTAGAAATATAAGTGAAGTAAACTTCTATTTCTATAAAGACTGACTTCTGTGTTGTTGGCCATATGTGTGAATGTACACTCCAGTTTTCTTGCGTTTGTGGTTTAGTAGTTCAGAAATGTTTCTCTGCCTTTTCTCTATCTTTCTATTTCTGTCGCTCTGTTTTATCTGCAGGTCTAACTGGCTGAAGCCATGCTGCGGGAGGAGAGCAGCGCTGTGGCAGGTGTGTTTGCTGAGTGCTGGCTTCAACTGTTTCCTGGTGGCCTGTGTCATCTTGGTGGTGCTCTTACTGACTGTGGAACTGCTCATTGATACTAAACTCTTACAATGTGAGTATTAGAAGGGGTTCGGGATCCCTTTAGAAGCCGATCTGGGCTCACAATGAGGATTTACTATCTAGTTGTTAGCACACATGCTCTGACATATCAGACAGTGCCACTTACTGTATAAAGGATTCAGATTTGGACTACACTGGTCACACTGCATGTTTTTGATTCACTAAAATGAAATGGCCCATAGGAGTCATTTATTTGTAATTCAGACTACACTGTCAGATTGTATGTTTTTGATTCCCTAAAAAGAAACAACTCTTAAGAATCATTTGTTTGACTACACTGTTTGTGCTGAACATTTTCGATTCATTAGGAAGAAATAGTTCATAAGAGTAATTTGTTTGGGAATCAAACTAATAGTCATAAAAGTAATTTGTTCGGAAATCAGACTACACTGGTCAAGCTGTATGCCATTTTTTTGAGATTCAGATTACCGTGGTGACACTGTATGTTTTGATTCACTAAAAAGAACCAACTTACATGAGTCATTCATTCAGGAATCAAACTACACTAATTGTGTTGTATGTTGTTGATTCATTTGATTTCAGGATATTAAAATACTACTAATAATAATAATAATTTATTCAGTCGGTTCTGAATAAGAGCTGGTTCTCATTTCCCAACCTAAGACCCAACCTTAGATTCCCTAAAAATTAAAGATTCATAAGAGTCATTTGTTTGGGATTTAGACTACATTGATTACAATGTTTTTGATTCACTAGGAATAAGTAGCTCATGAAAGTAATTCGTTGAGGAATCAGGCTTCACTGGTCGAGCTTTATGTTACTGTATTTGTTTGGGATTCAAACCATAGTAGTATGTTTTTGATTCACTACAAAGAACCGACTCATGAGAGATTTGTTCTGGAATCAGAAAATCATTTGATTTCAGACTTCATAAAAAAAAATAAAAACCGTATTTATTCAGTCAGTTCTGAATAAGAACTGGTTCTCATTTCCCAACCTAAGAAATTCAGACTACCTTGGTTACACTGTATGTTTTTGATTCCCTAAAAATAAAATATTCATAAGAGTCATTTGTTTGGAATTTAGACAGCACTGATTGCACCGTATGTTTTTGAATCACTAGGACAAAGAAGCTCATAAAAGTAATTTGTTCAGGAATCAGACTACACTGTTCATTTGTTTGGGATTCAAACCATAGTAGTATGTTTTTGATTCACTAGTAAGAACCGACTCATAAGAGATTCGTTCCGGAATCAGAAAATCTTTTGATTTTAGACTTCATTTACAAAAAAAAAAATTATATATTCAGTCAGTTCTATATAAGAACTGGTTCTGATTCCCATAAATCACATCCATTTTATATTTGCATAACAATACATTTATCTTGACAATTTAAAAATTCTATTAATTCAGTATACAAAGACTATCTCTCATAGCTATACGTCTGCAATTGTTGATCTAATCTCTGTGGAGATTAGTCTCAATAAACACATTGTGAGTGACAGTTGCTTTGCTGCTATTTGCCTGGACATTTTCATTTCGCATAAGAGCCTATTGTAAATCTGACCAGAGATCCCCATTCATACTACGGCGGAAAATCACGGCTTAGTGTGCAGATGAGTGCACACTAAAGAGAGATATGTGAGAGATGACAGAAGCATAAGTCAGCCTATATCTCTCTGTCTTCTCTGGCCTTTACACAGTCCTGACAGACAGATGGGAGCAGAGGATGAGTGCAGGACAGCGACCGGCCGGTGAGATTAATGGAAGGAGGGATTGAGGGAGATAAATGGACTGATGGACAGATCAGTGAACAGAGCAAACTAAGACATATGGGCCGGGAGATTGGCGGCGTGTGGAGAGAGTGAGGGAGAGAGGGGGTGATAACTGAATGCAGTAGATCTCTTGCACCGTAATAGAGCAGATAAATTGACGCGGATGGGTGGAATATCATATCCAAATGCCTAATGCTTTCAGTTCAGGTGGCTGTCATAATGAGATTGAGTAGCCACTGTCCTCGGCTTGCGACACGGATGCGGCACACGTAGGGAATTTGGCTTCTCTCTCAAAAAGTCCCTGTAAGGAGGAGTAATTCTGAAGAAGAAATCCCCATATTTTTTTTTTTTTTTACATTTCAAGGATCTTTATGTAATGCTTGATCAAGCAGCTTATTATGTTATGTGAGCTTTAATGTGTTATCTAAACATATATAATTTGTGAAATTTTCTGTTTTGGTGAAAGTTTCTATGTGTTCTATTCTTGTTTTAGTAATTTAAATTATTATTAATGATGTCTGATTCATAAAGAGTATGAATCAGTTTAATGATTAGTTAACTTTTAGCTGATTCACAAAGTGCTTGGAAATCACTTTGTTTTAGAGTAAAATCAAAAACATAGTATTACCTGGCCTTAACAGCAGTCAGAATTAAATTAGAGTTTTATATATATATATGTGTGTGTGTGTGTGTGTGTGTCATGTAATATGCTCCATTATGGCATGCAGGGACTTTTGAAACAGTTTATAGTGAAATGTTTTGAATTGATTCATTGAAACGAACCATCCAAGTTCTTTGAATGAATAGAAAGTTCAAAAGGACACCATTGATTTGAAATAGAAATCTTTTGTAACAGTGTGAAAGCCTTTACTGTCACGTTTGGTTGATTTAATATGTCATCACTGAATAAAAGTATTAATTTCTTTCAGACAAAAAAAATCTTGACTCCAAACTTTTGAGTTGTGTGAATTTTGAGAATCTGTTGCTCATTACATTTGACTGTATTATAATATGATTTTTTTTTTTTTACATTTAGTGAGAGCAGAATCTCTTTGAATTGTGTCCACAGTTAATAATGCATTCCAGTTCGCCTGTATCATCCACTGGATCAGCCTGGTCATCCTGTCCGTGTTCTTCACTGAGGTGAGTGTGAATCTGTGTGGGATCTCACTGAAGTATCCTGCTTTTCTTCTGGAAAAAACACCCTAGTAACCCTAGAAGAGCTCGTTATAATGTCTCATACTGTGCTCAAATTTGCCAAAATACATTTTCTTATTAAACATTTCTCATCAGATTCTTCCAAAACTAAATTATCTTAACAATAGCCTACTATACACATTAATTTTATGTAAAACATATAAATATAAAGGAATTTTTGGAGTCTATTGTTAATATTCAATTGAAAGATAACAAAGCTATAAAAGCAACGGGTCAGCATTAAAAGTGCACGTTTAAAGGTCACAGGCCACTAAAACGACTAAGATGCTGAGTCTAAGATGATCATAATTTACACAGAGCCACCAGGCTTACTAGAAATAGCCTGTTTTACAACTATCCATATAATATATGTTTCAAGTGAATGGTGCCACGACGGGACGTTTGGAAGTATTTGATGTATGGTCTTATCTGAATGTTTATGCTGTAGGGGCGTCTTAATTGAACCCAAGAAAAAGCAGTTTCACATAGTGCTCTTACTGTACTTTAAGTGTGTGTGTGTGTGTGTGTGTGTACTGGTTTATATATCCTGGTGGGGACTTAAACCTGACTACACACAGACTCATGGGGACTCGTGTCACGGTGGGGACCTAAATTGTGGTCCCCACGGGTACAAAAGCTTATAAATCATACAGAATGAAGTTTTTTGAAAATCTAAAAATGCAGAAAGTCTCCTGTAAGGGGTAGGTTTAGGGGTAGGGTTGGTGTAGTAGGGCAATAGAATATACGGTCTGTACAGTAGAAAAACCATTACGCCTAAGGAGAGTCCCCACAAGGATAGCTGACCAGACTGTGTGTGTGTGTGTGTGTCCTGACACGTGCTGACTTCCATTGATTCCCATTTCTTCATTTTGCTCATCGATAAAGGCTCAAGAGACGGGAAGGCCTGAAAGTTTCAGCGTCACATGTTTTAGAGAGGAAAAGAGAGCAAAGTAGGGATAGAAAGCGATAAAAAGACTAGCGTGTGCCACCTGAGTCAGCAGTCACTAAAACAGCGTCTCCTTCGCGAGTGCTTCGATGAGATCTCGCCCGCTTGCGAGTTTATGAATACATATTGCAGGTCACTGATAAATTATGAGCTGCATTCTGAGACGAGATGAAAGAAAAAATGATTCGGCTTGGAAATGGGTTTTGCGGAGGTTATTTCTCCACCAAATGGAGGTGAATTCTGTTGCCGCCACGTCTCGATATCACTTAGATTTTGAATTACCCTCCATACACATTTTCCCTGCAAGCTCATTATTTATGTTTGCCGTTCGTGGGTCGCTGGAAAAGTAATGTTTGCCTGATTTTTTTTTTTTTGCCCAAGGCTTCTCTCTCGCCTTTCACTAAACACGCTCTGTTGTTTTCTTGTGGATGATTTCCCAGAATGCAATGTGCTGAAGCATCAGAAATCTGATCAGTGATTTTCATTAATCTGCTTCTTTTCTGTTTCTTTCTTTCTTTCTTTGAATGGGTCTTTTCCACTTATATGCTCTCTCTTCCCTGTCTCTCTCTGCCTCTCCCAGACTGTCTTTAGGATTGTGGTGCTCGGGATTTGGGATTATATAGAGAACAAAGTTGAGGTAAGCTCCCCGGGGTCCCATTAGTACAGGGGGAGAAACAGGCGAGCCCTTGAAACTTAATGAAGGATGAGTCTCTCTCTGGCGCAGTGACACACTCTCAATGTCACATTGTTGCCTGAGCAGGAGAGGATCCATTGCTGACTGCACTGTGATTGGCTGTTCAGTTTTATTGACCCCGCCCACTCATTTACATAATAAATATTGCATTTTTTGTCATATCTGCCTGATATTAATGTTTTTAAAGAGCATTTACTGATTATTTTAAGGAGCACACAAACACTCTCTCATGGAAAAATTGATGTTTTGTATAACATAAATAATATCTAAAAAGATTATATATATATATATAATCTTTTTAGATATTATTTATGTTATACAAAACAATTTTTCAATAATACATAAAATATAAAAATAATAAATATATTTATAGTTTGTAATAAATATTGTTTATATATAGAAAATATTTATTCATGTCCGCTAAAAAAAATAATAATAATAAATAAATAGGTAGGTAGGTAATGGGTAATACAACTTTTTTTTTTTTTCACAATTTGGACTTTGTTTCAAGTGATTCTGAGAAAATGGGAAATATAAACTCCGAATTGTGAGTCTGTGTTTCTTTTATTCTGAATTATGAGAATAAAAAATAAAGGCAATTGTGACTTTTTATCTCAGATCTCTGACTTTTTCCCCGCAACTGCAAGTTTATAACTCACAATTCTGACTTTTTTCTTCGCAGTTCTGAGTTTGTATCTCGCAATTCTGAGATTATATATCTCAATTCTGAGAACTGTGAGATATAAACTCAGAACTGCGAGATGAAAAAAATCTGAATTGCAAGAAAAAGTCATTAGTATAAAAGAAAATTATGAGAAAAATCACAACTCCCTGCTGGGTTTTTTTTTTTCATTGCGGAAACGGGCTTCCATAATTTATTAAATAATACATGCATGTTCAATTTATTTCAGATCTATTAAATAAATGATAGTTAGTATGGTATGTTATGAAGTGTCTACAGTTGAGCATTACCTGCTATGTAACAGCTCATAGTAATAAATACACTTTTACATGTTACAAGCTGAAAGGCATATGATCGTGTTTCGTTGTTGTTGTTTTGTTCAGGTATTTGACGGTGCTGTGATTGTACTCTCTCTGGCCCCAATGGTGGCCTCCACAGTGGCGAACGGCCCCAGCAGCCCCTGGGACGCCATCAGCCTCATCATCACCCTCCGCATCTGGAGAGTCAAGAGAATCATTGAAGGTAAGCTGCTTTATGACAACACACCATTCACAATCTCTTTTGACACTATGAAGTCTTTAAAAATAATGTTGTAAGTAATATTTATTTATTTACTGAATGTAAATACATTTGACCTTTAAAACACTTTTAGCATTTAAGCATTAGCTAATTCAGCTGATTAATTTTACTAGCTGTTGTCCTGTCCGGCCCAATGAGTGTGAGTTATGATAGACGTCTCACACGCGCTGCTACTGCCAGCGTTGGTCTTATTAAAATTCAGATTGATTCAGAGTCTTTTGTCTGCGCTGAGAGGAGCATAATGTCCATAATGTCTCAGCACGGGTTCTGTTTATGCAAGTGTATTCATGGTCGATGGCTGGGGCAGGTCACCCTCATTCTCACTAAACATCATTGAGCTGTTGAGTACCGCGCCGTCAGACACATTTACATGAACACTGGTGATGACAACAAACAGCTCTGCCAGTGCTGAGATCCAGTAGCACCTCACAGAAACAGCCCTGAGTTTGATATAAAAGTCATGATAAATAAAATGCATCAATACAAGCAGTGTTGTTATTGATGAATCTATTAAAAAAATAGTTTTTGGTCATTGAAATGAAACTGAAATCAAATATAATACAATGAAAATTTGAAATGTTGATTTGGCAACTCACGACTAAAGTACTAGAATTACTAAAACTGAAATAAAAAGAAAGCTATATAGAAAAATAGTAAATAATGGATGAATGAAAAATAAAAAAGCTTGACCAAAAAAGACAAAAGCATGTAACAATTACTAAAACTTAAACTGAAAATATAAAAATAAAAGCAAAAAACTACATTTTAAAGATACAGTAGTAAAATTAAAGCTTTAATTATTTAGTACAATTTTAATTGCAATTAATAGTTTTGTCATTTTTTATCATTAAAAAACACTTAAATAATTATAATCATTCAAATAAAAATGTTAGATCTATTTTGTCTATACTTCATATGAATCTAAAGTGCTTGCATGCCTTCTTCTGTGCCTTTTCTATTAAAATTTACATTTATATTGCTTTGTGCCTGTGTTTTTGTGTATTCTGCATGTTTGTTTGCACATATATCTTATCTTTTACCTATCCTTCATGGTTTATGATGTGCAAGCTGTGAGAATTGCGTATGTTTTCATGTGTGTGTTTGTTCATACGCCTCGAGATTTGAGTTTGAGAGCGTGCACAGTTGGCAAAAAAAACAACAACAACAAAAAAGGCAAAGACAGCTAAATACGGTCGTCACACTTTACACCGTGTTTAATACAACAGTAGAATGCTGAAGTTATATAATCTGAACTCGGAGAAATGAAGGAGAAACGAAAGCTGATATTTCACATTCATGAGCTCAAGTCTTGCGGCGAGTCTGATCCAGTTTTACGCCACCCTGTGGTTGGACCATGATGTACACATCAGGACGTAAAAGCGCCATGCCGTGCTGAACTTTAGAAAAAACACCAGCGCACGGTTAGATTTACTGAGGGTTAGTTGCTGAGATATGCTGCTTGATATTTTTATTTTATTTTATTACTTTTTTTTTTATTTCTTTATTATACCTAAAGAATTTTAGGAACTCAATTAAGGCCATGTCCACACGTACACAGGTATTTTTTATAAACTGAGTTTTTCCTTCTTCCGTTTAAAAAAAAATCTCCGTCCACATGAAAACGCATGCTATGAAGCACTGTCAAGAGCATGCCAAACCAACAGGTGGCGATATAACCGTAAAGCTATGTTGGCCAATCAGAAGCCTGAAAGAGTCTCCAGTAGGCGGAGATAACAGCGCAGGCTCGACGTCACAAGCATAGTTGCCAAGTCCCGGTATTATACGCGACTTTGGGCTTCTTTTTTTGTAAAGTTGCGTGAAGAAAGCGCCGGCTACATCGCACCTGTATTTATAGACCGTGATTGCAAGCGGGGCGTGGTTAATTTGATATACCGTCTCCTGACAGCTCATCCTCAGCGAGGCTGACCCGTACTGTGGCGTGTTGACTTCATTCACAGAACTAGGTTACCTATGTAACCCCTCGTTTCTGCTTTTCAGATAAAAGAGTGGTTTCAGTTTAATATGTTGCAGGTTCATTTATTGGTAATAAATAATTGATAATAAATAATATTGATGATAATAAATCATCAAAATAAATATTGGGCTTGTTTTGGGCTTGTTTTTAAAGCTGCGGTTGCTTATTTATCTTGCGAGAGATGGCAACAGTGGTCACAAGCCAAAATCTTCGGTTTGGCTGTCTACAGACACGATAACACTGCAACCGGAGTTTTTGCAAATCTTCACCCTGGCAGGCGTTTTCAAAAATGTTCGGTTTCAGTGAACTGGTGCTGCGTTTGCGTGTGGACGAACAGCCAAACCGCGTAGAAAAAGCTGCGGTTTTAAAAATAACCGCAAGTCTAACACATTGCAACGCAGCAAAGCATGCTGGGAGTTCTGTCAGCAGATGGTACCAGTGTGAGAAGAGACTAATTGATATGGAGAGCGAGTGGATGATAAGAGGGGTCATGTGGATATGGCTTTATTAAGAGCCAACAGCAGACAGCAGAGCACCTGATTGAAAGCCTTTGGCCCTCTCAGCACAATCCCAGCCCAGCCAGAGAAATCAACTTCAGACGACGCTCATGTCAGTTCATGGAATATGAGGCAAAAATTGGCTCTCCGCTTAGGTGTGGATGGAGGTGATGTATGTTTGCAGAAAACAATTAGCGGTTCATCAAAGTTGCCCATTGTGTGTTAAACCTGTTAACATTTGATCAGCTGTTTTACAGTATTTTTTATTGAGATGTGTTCTATTTAAATAATTGTGGTCTATTCAAATACATGTAGTCTTTTCAAACAATTGTATAATATTATTTGAATATAAATATTGTAGAAATATTCTATTAAGATATTGTGTTATTTATTTATACATTAATAAATATTTAGATAGAATATTTTATTTATTTTATTGTTATTATTATTTTATATAATTCAACCAGATACAAAACTACAGATTCAAAAATGACTGATTAAAAGCTAATAAGTTATTTTGAAAGAAAGAAATTAATACTTCTATTTAGCAATGATGTTTTAAATTGTGAAATTAAAGATGGATAAAAAGATCAAGAGTGCAGATCTTTTGAATTTTCTCTTCATAAAAGAATCTCGAGGGGAAAAATGTGTCATGGTTTCCACAAAAATATGAAGCAGCACAACTGTTTTCAACTAATAATAATCAGAAATGTTTCTTTAGCAGCAAATCAGTATATTAGAATGATTTCTGAAGGATTGTGACACTGAAGACTGGAGTAATGATGCTGAAAATTCAGCTTTGATCACAGGAATAAATTACATTTTACAATACATTAAAATAGAAAAGTTATTTTAAATTCTAATATTATTTAACTGTAATATTACTGATTTTATTTTATTTATATCAAGTAAATGCTGTTTTGTTGAGCATGAGAGATTTCTTTCAAAAACATAAAAAAATCTTACCAACTTTGCTCAAAAAGGATGTGTATTTGATCAACCAAAAAAAATAAAAGTGTACTTTACTCGGCTGTGTTGTTTCTCTTCTGTAGCGTATGTGCTACAAGTGAAGGTGGAGATGGAGCTGGAGATCCAGCAGTATGAGAAGACCAAAGCTGTGAGGGAGGAGCAGCTGGAGAGACTCACACAGATCTGTCAGGAACAGGCCGTGAGTGATGAACTACCCTTCACTCCTCTCTGACATTTACATCACCAACATAACACAATAAGTACAACTCTTGTGCCAGTGACACTTACCTTGACAGTAGCTCTGTAATAGAAGTATACTCAAGAGTGAGTGTAAGTTTTGCTTTAAAGGAATAGGTCACCCAAAAATAAAAATGTACTCATCCTCAGGCCGTCCGAGATAAAGATGAGTTTGTTTCTTCATCAGAACAGATTTGGAGAAATATATAATTCCATCAGTTGCTCACCAATGGATCCTCTGCAGTGAATGGGTGCCGTCAGAATGAGAGTCCAAACAGCTGATAAAAACATCACAATAATCCACAAGTTATCCACACCACTCCAATCCATCAATTAACCTCTTGTGAAGTGAACAGCTGCATGTTTGTAAGAAACAAATCCATCAAGACGTTTTTAATTACAAGAGTCCTCTATCCATAATGTTGTGTTCTCCAGTGAAAAAGTTGCCCCGTCCGAATCAGGAGAGAAATATGCACAGATCAAGCACCGTTTACAAGTGAAAATATGTTGGTGGATTTTATTTTGAGAGGACTACACTATATGGACGTTATTATGGATAACGGACTCATATTTTGACTGGTTTGCTGTGGTTTGGATTAAAACTGTTTTAATGAAAACAGTTGAATTAATTTAACTTGTTTCTTACAAACATGCAACTTTTCACTTCACAAGAGGTTAATTGATGGACTGGAGTGGTGTGGATTATTGTGATGTTTTTTTCAGCTGTTTGGACTCTTATTCTGACGGCACCCATTCACTGCAGATGATCCACTGGTGAGCAAGTGATGGAATGCTACATTTCTCCAAATCTGTTCTGATGAAGAAATAAACTAATCTACATTTTGGATGGCCTGAGAGTAAATTTGCAGCCATTTTTCATTTTTGTGTGAATAATTGTTTTAACTCCCCTCTCCAAACATTTTTCCATAATCATGTTGCACCGTGTATTTGTCCAGCAGAGGGCAGCACTCTGACACACAATCAAATTTCACTTTTATTCATCTGCGCAGTAACAAACACAGTGCCTGTAATCACTGATCATTTTTTTTATTGATCAGATTGTATCTGTTTATTTAGCCATATTAGAGTCACCAGAAAAAAAATATTTTAAACACATCTGTTTATTTGGGGGGGGGTTTCGGTCCAGAATGATATGTTACTGATGTCCACAGACTCTGATGTATGTGAATTGTGTCTCAACAGCACAATGCATCCTGAATATCCCCCATATTTTTAACCGCACCAAGCTCATGCTTCATTTCTGATCGGGTCTCGGCGGATGATGCAAGCTCGCGTTTCAAGCTGCAATCCAGCCCAGCGTATTACATAAAACTGTCACGTGACCCGTCCAGCCTGTCCTGGCCCCCCAGACAGATAACACAGACAGGGATCAATGCACGCCACTGAAATACACAATTGACCCTAGATGTGTTTCTGTTGTTCTTCTCCTTGGGGAAGAAGACCGATAAGACTGTGATAGAAATGTCTGTTGGGAACTGATCTGAGAGCTGTCGATATCAGCGCAGCGGCCCTGAGAACAGTAGAGCTCATTGATTATGTCGAGTGTGTGGACATTGATTGAGTTACAATGTAGCAAGGAGATCCATTTCAGTGTGTTTATGATATAAATTATAGATAATGATTTGTAATACTGCCAGTAATAATTGTTTGATAACCTAAATGGCTATAACTTTAATCAAAATTATAATTAGAATAATAGATATAATTATAATTTATAATTGAAGAGCTATAAACTTAGTGTGTGGGTTTTTCCAAAATGGTTACTCCTAAAGTTTAGGTAGCAAGGTAGCTAATGAACGGTTAAATTAAATTAAATTTAAAAAAATCTAATCTGGAGTTCTTAATCTAATTTAAATAAACAAAAACCATAAAATGAAATATTAGAAATAAAAGATTCTACACTATTTGTAGATCACTAATCAAATAAGCAAAATTGTGCCTTTGAATAAAAGGTTAGATCTCCTTGTTTACATTGAAAACAAGCTAATTTTAGTCATATTAGTATTTTCATATGAATAAAATCTGTTAATTAAGACGTTCAATTTAGTGGGGTTTCTTGACAAAACATATTTTACTTTTACATTATATGCAACAGCCCATAATGACAGCAAATTAAATTACTTAAATGATTTCAAAATATGTCAGTCTCTGTCTGCATTCTTGTCTTGGGCAGTTTGAGATCAGGCAGCTGAGGGCTCACCTGGCGCAGCAGGATTTGGATCTGGCCGCTGAGCGTGAGGCCGCCATGCAGATCCACCATGTGTGGGGGAAACAGAGCAGCAGCTTCCAGGAAATAGACGGCCTGGGTCCCGCTGGATCTGACAACGAGTGCCGCGCCAACACCAGAGAGCCCAGACCTCCTCCAGGTACCCAGACCTGTCCTATCTCTGCCTTTTAATGAGAGTTAAAAACCAGCCCAGTCTCACACGGGAAATGATGTAACATTTATCCACACACCACTAAAATATCTCCGGTAATTCTGATTAAAATGATATTGAATATGGAAGTGATGATATGTATCTATCTATCTATCTATCTATCTATCTATCTATCTCTCTCTCTCTATATATATATATCTATCTATCTATCTCTCTCTCTCTCTCTCTCTCTCTCTCTCTCTCTATCTATCTATCTCTCTCTCTCTATCTATCTATCTATCTCTCTCTCTCTATCTATCTATCTCTCTCTCTCTATCTATCTATCTCTATCTATCAAGGATGCATTAAATTGATCGAAGGTGATAGTAAAGACTTTTACATTGCTACAAAGTATTTCTATTAGTTCTTTTGAACTTTCTATTCATTAAAAAATCCTGAAAAACCGTGTATCACAGTTTCCACAAAAATACTGAGCGGCAAAACTGTTTTCACCATTGATAATAATCAGAAATGTTTCTTGAGCAGCAAATCAGCATATAAGAATGATTTCTGAAGGATCACGTGACACTGAAGACTGGAGTAATGATGCTGAAAATACAGCTTTGATCACAGGAATAAATTACATTTTAAAGTATATTCAGACAGTTATTTTAAATTGTAATAATATTTCACAATATTACTGTTTTTGCTGCATTTTTGATCAAATAAAGTAAAAGCAAAAGAGTCTTTTATACATTTAAAAAATTTTACCAATGCCAAACATTTGAACATGAATATATTATTATTATTATTATTAAAAATAGAAACAGTCCCACACAGTCATGTCTTGTGAATTTTGAATAAATAAATAGATAATAGAATTAATAAATCATATGAATAAATATATATTTTATAATATATATTTTCTAAAGGTTATCTAATAAACATTTGCATAATACTTTACAATAGTGGGTTGGACTTTATCTGTTTGTTTGTTTTTTGTTCCGTTTTGTTGGCAGTATCTTACAAACCTCCCTATATCCATCCAGGTGTATGTATTATTCTATTAATTTCATACAAGTACAGTTCATACAGTTTCTGAGCCAGCAATAAAAAATTATAATTGGTCATTTTTCTCAATTTACCTACCACTGGCCTATCAAGAACTTTATTTTGGACGCTAATTGTGTGTAACAGAAAATGAATGAGAAGCTTCAATTCAGTGGCTCCAGTTTAGTGATTCAGAGGTACCTGCTTCTCCTCCGAGCCTTAAATCAACCCAGCCTCTGAACACAGACAACAACATCCCTTCAGTGTTTACTGTGACAGTACAATCAGGACAGATCGTATGATATCCCATTATAACAGACCGCTATAATGTTCCCCACATGTCAGGTCACATTGGGATCTGTTTGGCAGGAGTACAGCTGTTATACACACACACACAGCTGCTCTGTGCATTGGGTCTTGTTCCTCCTGAAAGAGTATTCAACTATGGCACAAACATCTGTTCCTTTAACCTGAAAAACCCCACAATGGTCCTCATGCAAGCCACACTTCATCCCCTAGAGGATTGTGGGAAATGTGGGCACCAGGAGCCAGCCCGTGGCTTTTTCCTCTAAATGACACAAGGACAGAAATGCTGTCAAAGCGCAGACCGACCCCTGGAGACAGAAGAGCGGAGACAGAGTGACGGTTGCCCGAGGGCTCGTATCTTAGCGGCCATATTTTATATTTGGCGCCTCAAAGACACGTATAACACGGGAGTTAGATGCATTTAAGCACCAAAGACAAAGACGCAGAAAATATAAGAGCTGCTGAGTGATCTCATTTTTTAAAGAGCTGCTTTTTGAAGTTGAGGCCATTACCTGTCAGAGTTCAGCCAGAGCGAGGTCTCTTTTATCTCCGCTGTGGTTCGGATGAGAATTTACTGCGTCGAGCCGAGCGACCACAAAGAGATACTGCGTGACATGATCATGCTGAATCATCGCTCTCAAAGTCTGCTTAGTTTCAGAAACCGGATTCCTCAAATACTGGATGGGAGACACCAAAAATAAATAGTTCATATAATGACTACGTTTTGACAGTGTAAGATTCAAAGCCAGCAAAACAAAGTTGAAATCTGTTTCGTTTCAAAAACAAATGTAAGATTTTGTGACATTTTAGAACGAGAAAAAACGGCCAATAGAAAAATAAACTTGACTGAAGATATTTTCTATGAAAACATTTTGCTTTCCACTTAAATTTATCTTGTGGTTTAAGGATGTTTGACTTTTTACCAGAAAACAAGGCAAAAATAAAGATTTTTTCCCAGTGCAGGACATGAGGAAAGACTTCAGCGCTCGCACATGTATTCTAGTTATTCTAGATAATCTTTGTGGGGCACATTACGTGTCAGAGCTTGACCCCAAGCAACACCAACTACGGTATTTTACCAAAAGCAATGCTTACAATTGCAAATTTTAGAACGTACAATGCATTTTTTGAAAAATAAGATTTCACATTCACTCTTTCTTTTGCTCTTCCCTGGAAGAAGTAAAAATGTGTGTGTGGTCGTCTTCATCCTCATGTGTTATTTATATTCGGCTGTGATTGTCTTCCTGGTGTTTTAGTCGGCTGCCCATCTCCTCCCGAGCCTCCGTTTGATGAATATTTCAAACAGTAAAAATGAATTTAAAAAGGCGCTGTGAGTTGGGTCTCGTCTCCAGAGATGTGCGGTGCAGTCGACTCCTCGCTCTGCCAGGCAGATCATAAGACCTTCTACCCAGCCGATGACCTCCGCTGCATCTACAGCCACAGCCACGTCAGACAGCCTCTTTTTGGGTCAGGAGGCCAAGCAGCAGATAAGGGTGGCCAGAATCAGAACGTTAATGCATTGCTTACACTGTAGCACGCTTCACTACATAGTGACTCATTAAAGTTTCCCCATTATAAAGCAGTGAAATGAGAAAAATGATCAGAAAAGCTTTAAAATCTCAGATTTCTAAGCATCTGGATTCTATTTTTTATTATTTATTTTTAGTAGCGGTAAGTAATTAATTTTTTTGTTATATATAATTTATTTATTTTTTTTAGATTAATCTATGCATATACATCCAAATTATTGGTTTACTGATACTAGTTTTTCCGCAGATGCCAACTTTTAGATAGCAAGGTGGATCATGGGTCATAAATTGTTGAAATATACGGTATATATATATATATATATAATTTAATATATTGGAGTATGCAAGTATGTATTTTTTTAAAAATAGGCAAATGAGATATCAAATAAATTAAATATTCAATATTTACTTGAAATCAGTGTTTAGTATAAGTGAGACTATTATAATTTGTATGGAGTAATTTAAATCAGTTTTTATTTTAATATTTTCCGTTTTCATTTTAGTTTTAGTAAATTTGTTGTGTTAGTCATTATTAGCAGTTTTTTTATATGTCTATGTCAAGTTGAACTAAATATGAGAAATGTTGACTTGGCAACTAGCTGAAATAGAAAAGGTTTTTATATATTTTGTTTAATTTTAAGTTTATTTTTGGCTTTAAATTTAGTTTTAGTTATCTACAACAACCCTGCTTTAAATTCCCTCGACAATCGACAAGACCAGTCTGAAGATTACACCTCATTGTTCAATCGAATACACTAATCATTTGATCTCAAAATGCCAAAAGGTCTGGCTAATGTATCAGTTGACCACTGTCACGATGCTTAAACATTTAGGATGGCTCTCATTCACTATGTTATACTATCTGTTATACACACAGACATTGGGGTGCCCGACCCTGGTGCACGTGTCATAACCACAGCAGCCATCGATGTCCACCTTCCTACCAACCCCAGCCACTTGCCGCCTTCCCTCGTCAGTGCTGACGGCCCGGGCAGTGGCCAGGAGCGCACGGGCAGCTCTGTAAGTGAAGCATCCAGCACGACCATGTCCCGGTCCAGCTGCAGCTTCACAGCCCGGCAGTACAGCGTCAGCAGCCACACACTGGGCTCCACAACTGACTGCAGCTCTACCGTACGGGAGGCCTCCACCTCAGACTACAGCGGCCAACGCTGCTGCCCTCCTCCGTACTGCAGCCCTTTGACCCTCGGCACACAACCGGGTGTCCATGACCCCAGCGCGGTGGTCAAAGAACTGTTCTCTTCCCTTTCTGAGGACTCCTGCCTGGCGCAGAAAGGCAGGGTGGACCCGGTCAATCTTAAATTGCCCAGTCCGGCAGGGTCGGTAAAGGCCAGTCCGGAACTGCAACACAGAGTGAACATATACAACAAGAGAAACCAGGAAAGTCTGGGCGTATTCCAGACCAAGCCACTAATTCACCTGCAGGGGACCGAGCCATCTCTGGAGGAGAAGTACAGGCTTATGGAGCCGGCAGATACTCCACTGAGCCATATACCGGACACATAGAGCATGAAGTTTGGGACGGTGACCACCAACACCAGCTGAAGCAGCCTCTCTCTTGGCCTCTCTTTCTATATCGCTTACTTACTGGCTGTGTCCGAAATATAAAAAATAGTGACATTGCTGGCAGTATCTGGAGGTAGGAAGGCATCAGGGCATATCGGAGTCTAATGTTTGTGGAACGTTCTCTACTGAAAGACTGTGACTTGTCAAGAGGTTGCCGAGTCAGTGTAAATGACTCTGTCAACACTAGTTCTGGAGAGCCAACTTCCTTGTCCAAATCTGCTCCAACAGACCTTCTTTTCAGGTAATCCAGAACACCTTCGTTGGTTGGGTAAGGTGTGTCTGATAAGGGTTGGAGTTAAATTCCGTGTGAAGTCAACTCTCTGGGAGCAGGGTTGGCTACCCCTGCTTCTTTTCACCAGATTTATGTGGATTCCCTTGTTACAAATGGTGCAAAAACACAAGGCTGAAATACACTACATCTTGTAAAATGGTTAGAGAAAAATATAAATACGCTTAAAGGGTTAGTTCACCCAAAAATGAAAATTAGCCCATGAATTACTCACCCATAAGGCATCTGAGGGTGAGTAAATAATGGGCTAATTTTCATTTTTGGGTGAACTATCCCTTTAACAACTGAGGATCACACTACCAGACTTTCATAGAAACATGCTTTATTGATAGAATACGCATGACAAATGAAAACAATATTTATTCTAAAATTTGCTCAAACTATTAAACAAGTCTGATACCTTCCAACTGGATGGAATCATATTCTGAAGCTAAAAAAAAAATCTGTGCCCCTAAAGAAAAATAAATTCCAGCCACACTCAACCAGCCTACAAAATCTGCAGACTGGTTCTGACTGTTGGCAATTAGCATCCACTCCCCCCAACTGTATATTGGGGCAACAAATTCTAGGCAAAAATAATATAGTTGTATTCCAGCCTTAAGTTTCTGTCAGACTCTGCAGGAAGGTGCCTCTCCATGAGCTGGATTGGACAACCCATCTCCCATCTCAGATGGCCATTGTGCTTTTTACCCCGGTGTTCCCCCAACCCTGTTCCTGAAAGTACAATAGACATTTTTGAACTCTTCCTACTCAAACACACCTGATTGAACTGACTGATGACAGCTCACTCAGGGCGGAGCTAAGGTAAGACACCAGTCGAGTCTGTGCTGAAATGCTACTGTCAATCAAACTATCGTGGGAGGGGCCTGTCTGTGTGACGTCACACAGACAGGCATCTGAGTTCGGCTCGATTTGAGAAAGGGGTAAAGATTTTAGTAGATTAACAAAAAAACCACTGAGTGGATTTTTATCATTTTAGGGTGGTTGTGTACACACACTGCCAACACACATTTCAGTTCAAACGACTTGTAAAAGTGCATGTAGCATTATATGACCCCTTTAAAACCTTAGGGCACGGTTCCTCATATCCAGCCATGGAGGGCCACTGCCCTCCAGAGTTTAACTCCAACTCTAATCAAAGACACAGGCTAAGTAAGGTCTTCAGAATTACTAGAAAATTACTGGGAGTTGAGTTTGAGCTGAACTCAAGGCAGTAGCACTCCAGGGTCAGATTTGAGGAACCCTGCCTTAACGTTTACCTTCATACAAAAACTCTTGAGTGATTGGGCCACAGTTACTTTGTTTCGGACACAGCCAATCTGTCTCTCTCTCTGTGTCAAACAGCACTATGATACTCACTCCCAGGTTTCATGTTCTCAGAAAGGGGCACAGGAAGTGACATGAGGATAACGCTCTCTGCTATCCGCCTCATGCAACGTTCCTCCTTACAGATGCACATTTCTCTCTCTCTCTCTCTCCAACTCTGCAAGAGCACTTGAACTGTGTCACTCCTGCCAAAATTGCACAACCTTCCAAGGAGTCAGGAAGAGGTACTTTGGGAGCCATCATTGGAAGATCCTTCAGGAATTTCAGTGTGTCTGTTGGGCGAGTGGTGTATGAAACCAGCAAAGACACACTCTTTTAGACGGTAGACCAATATCGGAGTGTGGCTGGAAGACTTCTCACGTGTTCTCATTCAGGGTGGCATGGGAGGGAGTTTTTATTTGTCGATTTGTTTATTTGTACGAAATGTAACTGACACACAATGTACAGTCCTTTTCCCCCAATGCTGCAGGGTTACATTTGATTCGTGTTCAAATGTGTCGAGCTGTGTGATTCAGCCAAATTTCTTACCTTTGCCTTTCTTACATTACTGATGCTGATGTTTGTATTCAAGTTCTATGCGAGAAAAAAAAAGTGCTAAACTCAAGTATTTTTAAAACATGGAGCTCAAACGATAGGCGAACATTTCAGGTATACAGCATTAGAAGATTTTTATGAGAAATTATGGTTAGAATGTTGTCATAACCCTTAACCTTAACCCCCATCCCAATAGCATGAGCCTTTGAAAAGATCTATCTGCTTTCTGACTGAGGCAAATTAATCCTGTTATCGACATGGGATTTTACAAACTGACAATGGGAGAGATTGTCAAGCAATTAAAAGTTGGTAAAATCAAATGTCCAGTGTCTTTTTTTTTTTTAAGTGTCAGGCTTGTGTTTCATTAAAAGAAGTGGTTTAATGTTTACATTAGCTATTGTAAGTACATATAGGTGTTCTGAAGGAAAATCACATTCAGGAGGAGACCATCAGTGGAGTGTTGGCTCTGAGCTTCTTAAGGCAGGCTCCTAGTGAAGTTCTCCAGGTGAGTACCGTCTTCGTCTCACTTTTTCAAGGCTTCGGTCAACTCAGGTACAACCTAGAAATGGATACACAGATACATAAACTGGCCCAACTCTTTCAACACCCTCACCCTGTTTACACCTGGTATTAAGATGCTTTTTTTTTTTTATCCGATACCAAGTGGACAAAACTACATACAGGTGTAAACAAGGTCTGAAACATTTTTAGCTAGTCTGAAACATTTTTAGCTAGTCCACTTTCGAACACTTCCAGAGGAAGTCGAAAACGCATTCGACCAGATTGCTCATGTGTAAACGCTCATATGGTCAAATGCGTTCGAACATCCACTAAAGACCGTCTCCTCTCTGCCTGCTGACTGAATTCTTAAACATTTTGGGATGTGTTGTTGAAGCGTGTGAGCCAGATGAGATTTTAAACTTTGCCGGCTGAAATCGTAAGTTCGCTTTCAAGTCATGAACAAAATGTAAAAAGTACAATGTTCTCTTAGCAGTCCTGATTCTAACAAACCCACGGTGTTCGGCATAGTTTTGTGGCTATCAGAGCATAAACAAAAGCTGCTGCTCTCTGTATCATTTTCCATTGTCTCATTTCTCAGTCTAATGTAAATTACACAAGCTTATTTCGCAATATTAGATAAAAGGCCCATACATAAACCCATCCCTAAACACTTCCCTCAAAGAAATCAGAAAAGAAGTGGCTGAAAGTGGACAACACAGCAGGTGTAAACAGTTGAAGGTGGATAAAATGGCATGTGTAAATGGGAATGTGTCTCCATCTACTTGTGATCCGAGTGACCGAAACACATTTTAATACCAGATGTAAACAGGGCCCCTTACAGCAGAACTCATTTGAATCTGTCAAACTTTTCTCCATTGTTTGAGCACCCTAGACAGAGTGGTTGTCATTTGAGAACATCCTGAACTTTTCCTATACATCGAGTTTCTCATCTAAAACCAAGGTGCTCCCGTATTCCAGAGCGCCCTGAAAAACTATAGCATCACCCCAATATGTCCCCTGCTCACTTTTCAATCTAAGGAAGGAGAAAGCCAATACATTTTAATCAGTTACCCGAGGAGTGATCATGTGTAAGTTGATCTGAGAGCCGCCCCTGCTCACCAGCACTGCCCATCATCGGCAATCACTTATACACAGTTTACCTGCACACCGGTGTCTAGCACGCACCGCCTGAATAAAAGATGAACGACAGGGCAAACACAGGGAAATAAACGATGCTAGCGTTACACGAGGTAAACACCAACAACAGATGGACGTGGTGTGTGTGGCAGCCCTCTGGCACCGTGAACGTGTGTGCCATCTTAAACTATGGCGCGCAGCCGGGCGTGTAAAGCTCTGGTGAGAGGAGACAGAAAATAAAGGTGAAAAACTACACCCGCACACTTGTGCCGACTATCAATTACTTTTCTGCTCCCAAAGAAGGAGAAGTTGTGTATAAGGCTTCTGGTTGGAGCCACGAGACGCCACTGATTAATTCAGCAACTCAATAATTCAGAAGTTGCACACTCTCCATTAGGTGGAATAATGCTCCCTGCTAAATTTAAAAGGGAAATATGGGACAGCTTTTTTGAGTCGCTCTGGTTTTGGTTGTAGATGGGCTTTGGCTGAAGAAATGAATACCAGGTCATTTGAAATTTACAGCGCTATTAATAATAAACTTGAACGGTACTGCTGATTGTCTGAGGCACTGGATTAAAATGTCTCTGATGACCTGATAAGGACCTTTTGTGCAAATGAGATCCGTGTTTTAGAGGAAGAAGACTGTATCTTTCCTGTTACGTATACGTTATCCTTAGTTGGAACTTCAAATGCCAAAAGGCTTCTCCTCCCTGTCCTGAGGAATGGGGCCCATTTTTTGTGATGAATTAAGGAGTTCATGTAGGAATGGTATCTCATCAGTGTAAAAAAAAAAAAAGGTCTGGAATTTTCACCATTTTTACCTTCACGAGGGGATTTTTTATAACCATATAAAAAATTGTCATCCTTTTACGTTAAATATTTCCATTTAATTAATTAATTTAAATAAATTCTTACACTAAATATTACATAAGCTGTTAACAACACATTTTATATAATTAAACCGAAGAGTTTTAAAACATCAGATGTTACGATAACAATAAAAAAAACAATCATTATAATAAAATGATATAAACTCTTGTTCTGAATGATTATAGGCTGATCAAAAAAAAATTATAACTACACCAAAAAATTGAATTATATTAAAAGATAATAAAATAAAAAACATTAAGCAAAAACATTACATGAATATATATATATATATAGCACCACAAGTCTCTAATCGCTAGGTCACAACTACAACTAGGAATCTTACCTTGAACAGATCTGCCACTATGCCATAGTCAGCCACCTGGAAGATGGGGGCTTCTGGGTCCTTGTTGATGGCCACGATGGTCTGTAAAACAATTAAGTAAATTATTTAGCGTGGTGGGCTGTATTGAATAGAAAGCCTCTATGGGATGAGCGCTGATTGAGTATAGTCTCCATAAGCTGACATGAAAAATAATTCCCAAAAGTCAATTCCTAGAACAAGCGCAGTAGTAACAAAAAATGCTAACACATTATTCTTGTAAACATCTCATCAACATGAGGATGATGCTCATATATGGAACATATGGATGAAGATGGTTGTGATGGGCTCTGACAGATAAAGCAGCTCTACCAGAAACTCTATTCCAAAGGTGCAGAATAGAAAATGCAGATGAATTATGGATGCAGGTAAAAAGCTACTTCACATCGCTTATAAAACACTCCATTCCAATACACCGTCACACTTAAAAGTGAGATAACTTGGCATATTCTGGAAACTCTTTGAAACACCGCTGCTCATGGGTAGGGTTTCCTCTGATTGTGGATATTATCACAGAAAATGATAACTTCGTAGTGTACTACAGTGTGAAGGTGTGTATATATTACTAACTGTACCTTGCTATCTTTCATTCCAGCAAGATGTTGGATCGCTCCAGAGATGCCAACCGCAATATACAGCTCCTGTAGAGTAGCCAAAAAAAGTATTAAAATGATTTTAAAAGGGACTTATTATACAAATCAGCAATTTCTTGCTCTTTTGAATAAAAGTCACATTTTTGACCGCACATATTTGCATTTCACTGCCTATTCAGAACTCAGCAACTTTGCCCGTGTATGAACGGCCAGTAGTTTTCACATGCAGCTAATTAGCCAATCAGCCAATCAAGTACATGACTTTTCTAATCTAAATTACAGTTGTTGTTGTTGTTTTTTGTTCAAGAAATCAACAAATATTATAAGTGGATTTTGGGGAGAAAATGAGATGCTTACAAAGAATACATCTCCATTAAATTATTATAAAAAATATATATATTTTTTTTTTAAATAATATTGTGTATGTATAT